CTATTTGGGACAGTCTAACAGGCAATGTACTTGTTACAAAAGCTTCGGGATCTGTGTTGGACCCTCAGCACCCAGAATTGGGTAAATGACATGGATGAATCCCAGGGTCTCACTGGCCAGCCATTCTAAGCAAATCAATTAGTGAGTACCAGGTTCAGTGAAAGACCCTACCTCAAAAAGAAGGGGGAAAGTGATTGAGGAAGATACTCAACATTGACCTCTGACCTCCACACATACACACATGGGCCATTACATACCAATACAAGTGCTTGTGTGTGTGTGTGTGTGTGTGTGTGTGTGTGTGTGTGTGTCCTGACAAAGTTACACTAAATAGTAGTCTCCAGTAGGGCAGTCCAAGCTTAAAGTTTTCTCAGTGTGGTAACTTTGAAATGATATCATGTTTCTTGACAATTATTTTTCCATTCATAGGGATTTATATGGTTTAAAAGTTTTACAAGTACGCTGAAATTTTACTGAGATTGTGACATCAAAGTATTTCACATTTGCATAATAAGTTGGCACACGTTATGACAGCATCACTGTAATAGGCAAAGAGGATGAGAGACTGTGCAAACAAAACTTTAGTGTAAAGGCTTGCTGCTCTAGAAGATATCAGAACTGGCATCCAGGAGAGTAAAGAGAGCCGAGCCATCTCTTCTGTCTTGTTTCCTTGGTGTTTGACAGCCAGTTTGCCTTCCTATGTCTACATTCTCTAAGCTGAACCTCTCCATCCATGGCCACTTCTGTAAGTCAGCCTTCTGAAGCTCACTGAAAATTAATACTCATGATGATATTAAGATTCTGATCATGTGGCATCCTTAGGAGGTGATTCTGGGGAGGCTGGGGCTAACACTCCATAGAAAAGTACTTGCCGTAGAAGCGTGAAGACCTGGGTTCTATCCCGAGCACTCACACAGGAAAAGCTCTCTAGTGAAACAGTATGTACCTGTGATGATAAAGCCGGAAAGGTGCACAAAAGACTCCCTGGGGTTTATTGACATAGACCTCTGGCCTCCACATGCACAGGCACACATGTGCACACACATGCCAGCATACACACACACATGCATATATACACACAGAGGTGATTAGGGTTCTCATCTCGTATATGAATGTGTCTGTTTGTATAACGAATGAATTAATGGCTAATGGAGTCTTTCAAGTGAATTTGCTGTAAAGGCTGCCTTGGCTGGGTCTCTTGTGTACCCATTTTACTCTCCATGCAATACCCTACATGCTTTCTGACTCTGCCAGCAAGAAGCCCTTTGCCTTTTGACCTTGGATCAGAAGCACAGCCAAGATAAAATTCATCTTTATAACTCACCTAATCTATATTATGTTAATAGCGATAGGAAACAAAGACAAGCCCCATTAATTCGTTGTGTTGTATAATCCATTGTTAGGCTTCTCCTCCCTTTCCCAAATCTCCTATACCTCACCCCCATCCTAATTTCTTTCTGATTTGTTGTCCGCTTTAATTGGAGAGTTCCATTTTTAAAACAGAGCTTGAAACCTTACAGCAGAGGCTTCCTAATGAGGCAGCCTCTCCACACAGCCCACACAGGTCAGCCCGCCTCAGAACGAGACCTGTGTCTTGCCATGAGTAAGCACCTTCCTCTGTTGGTTCTGGAGCAGTACAGCTTCTCATATCTGCTTCACACGTGGTTTCCAGAAGAAGCAGGTGTCTCTTTTCTTCTTCTTTAGATTCTATGATTGCCTTATTTACCTTGGGCTGGGCAGGTATTTCACCCACACTGTCTCAATATCCTCACCCTTACCTCCCAGACCCCATCCAATGCCATCCACCATAATCCTCCTCATCTGGTCTACCTTCCATCGATAATCTCAAGATACTTGCTAGTATTTTTCATCTGGGCCTTTTCACGCCATTATTGGAATCCTTCCTCTCAGCCCATGTGATTTTTCTCCACACTAACCCATTGCAGTCTCCTCCTTCCTTCCGTCTTCCTGTCCATCTGTCTCCCATGAATCTTCTGTCCTCTCCCTTTTCTGAGGAAAAGGGGATTAGGGAAGGAGGGAGGATGGGACTAGGAGGGAGGAGAAATGGGGCTACAGCAAGGATGTAAAGTGAGTAAGAAAAGAACTTACACATGTGCGGTACCCAGTGCCAATCACAAAGCGTCCGCTGCCTATGGCTGTCAGAGGTTGGTCCGATCCATGTCACCGGCCCTCAAGATCTGGTTCACCTGCCCTTGTTTTGTAAACCTGTCCAAGACATACCTTATTGGTTGACTGTACTGCCTATACTTGAGCAGGGCAGAATGGGATAGGCGTGGCTAAAGTTTGCAGGTGTCTTAATGTAAGGAAATATATTTTCTCACAGCTCAAGTGGCGGCGGCGGTGGGGGGGAGCTAGAAGCATAGGTTAATTCTGTCAGGAGCTCTCCTCTTGGCTTGTGGTGTCCACTCTGGCAGATGGGCTAGAGACCCCCTTATAAGGATCTAATTCATCATGGAGGTGCCACCTTTCATGACATTATCTCAACCTAAGGATGTCCCAAAGGTGTACTCCCAAATACTGTCATTTTGAGACTTACAGCTTCAAAGCAGGAATTGGGAGATGCGTTCATTTCTTAAGAGTGGGTTTTTGAAAATGAGTGCCTCATGAGATTCTTTTTGAGAGTATGAAGTGATTTGCAAATTTAAGATTTCTTTTTAAATTAATATTGTTACTTTTTCCTGTCAAGTTTATAAACATTTCCCCAGGGCCCTGGTTTCTAAGGAAACCAAATTCTTCCTGAGCAATGTTCAGAAGTAAAACTTGGATGCAATCTGAAGTTTAAGAAGTAGAATGTTAAATGAGCAGATAGCGAGGCCCGTGACAGCACATACCGTTCATTGCTGCTGCTGCTGCTGCATCTTTCGCTGCACCTGCTGCCCCTGGCAGTGCACATATTTTCATTTTACAAATCCATCAAGACTTTAAATATCGCACTGTAGAAACAGACCTTCCAAGAGGAGGAAGCGGGGTGGATGAGGGTCAAGGGAGGCAGGGGATCAGGCAAGGCTGGGTTGGGGAACGATCAGCCGGGAGGTGGGATGGTGGGACTGTCGCCTCTCCTCCAGCAGCTGCAGAGGGGACATGGTGGTGACAGGCCGGCCAGTGACAGGAGGCTGTCATTGAAGGTGTGGCAATGCTAAGGGGTGAGGGAGGTCTCCTACCCCTCTGCATCTGAGGCTACTCAGCCACCGCTGAGTAGTGGGCAGCCGGGAGAAGCTGAGTGAGCACTGAGTGAATAGGGAGATGGCGTCCACGCTCCCCTTGCTGCACAGTGCGGTCCTCCTGTGTACACTCCCCGGTTCTGCAGCGTGTCGGATATTGACACACCCTGGGGTTTGGGAAGCCCTTTGTATTTCTAGAAAAACAAAGAATGTAGAGATTTCAGCATCGCTTGCCAAGATAGGACGTCTTGGGAGCTTGGCTCACTGAAGGATGGATTGTTTAGACAACATGGTCGTCTGAAAATACTGTCATCTTTGTTGTTCCCCATTTCTTTTCACTCTGGGTTGCTTTTTTTATTTCTCCTGAGTGCTTTCCCCATCTAGACTGTCAGTTTGTTTTGCAAGGGAAAAGTTATCCAACAACATTATTGTTTGGATCAACTACAGGTATCGGAATGAAACTCAAAAACACAGGTCTTTTATAGCTGCAGTCGTTTCTGTTTTCATTATTAGCTTTTTACAGAGACAGTTTCAGTGGATCCATTATTGCACATTAATTGCCATGACTTGCAGAAAGTGAATCATATCTTTGTTTGTGCACTAACATCTATCTTTTATTGTATTAAAAACTGTAACAGAAAAAGAGTTGTTTTAAAATCTGGTTTATGGTTTTAATATTTCTAATACATATGTTTTATGTGTTTTTGAAATGTTGGGGGATTTTTAATAGTGCATCCCCTGAGTTTATTCCCACAATGCCTTAATGAGTTGGATAGAGCAATGTTCTTTTAGTGATACATATATTCCCAAACTTTGAAGGTAATCGGTTGAGTTGTTTCTGTTCTAGGTTGCTCCGTTTTGTTTCTTCATCAGGGTTGCATCAGCATAGAATGGTGAGATGAAAGATGTGAAGCAGCAGGGTCAAAGCCAGCAACTTTCCCTGCCCTGAACTACGGTCAACACAGTCACATTTTAATGCACATTAAAAACCCCAAGCCCACCCAATGAAACATAAAACTCAAAGCAAATTAGAATGAACTGTTGTCACCAGCACCACAACAGAGCCGTGTGATGTAATGCCCTCCTTTTCATTATTCTGTTTTGAGTCAGGGTCTCACCATGTAGCCCAGGCTAGCCTCAAACTTGCAGTCTTTCTGCCTCTACATTTTTGCCTCTTGGGTTTGGAGGTATCACCACACCTACCATAATGTCCTTTCCCTTTCCTCTCTCTTTTCTGTAAATTTTCAGTGTCTTTGCGAGTCTGATAACCTTCCTGGGTGTGTATCTATTCATTATTAAAAAGGGTTGACTAGATTCATCCAGTCATTTCAGTAGGTGGAAAGGCCAAGAACCCAACCTGCCACTGAGAGACTAGTACATTGCTCTCAATACTGTCTTGTCCTGTAAGACGCTCACACATCAGTCCAGTGCCATCTGCTTACACTGGATGATGCTTCATCATGGAGGCCATTTTGACTACATTGTCACAGGAGAATAGAGAATAGAAACCAAGCTCAGGAAAGACTTCTTAGGGATAGCTACACCAAATCTTGGGGATTTTGTTTTTTGCTTTTGTGCTTTTCTTTTATTTTAGAATTTTTTTTTTAACTGCTGTGACATGGGGACCATTTCTAGGGATTGCTTCTAAAGACATGTTTGGCAAATTCTAAACTTAGAATTGGGTTCATGTTTTAAAGTTACTTTTAAAAATAAAGTTGGCTCTTTTGTCCTGCTGAGAACTCTTAGGGACGAGATGATTGTGTCTGCATCATTCAGCAGCCCTCCATGTTTCTAACATCTTATTTCTTTGTTTCACAGCGTGTCTGGCGGAGAACTCTTTGATCGGATAGTGGAGAAGGGATTTTATACAGAAAAAGATGCCAGCACCCTTATTCGCCAGGTCCTGGATGCTGTGTACTATCTCCACAGAATGGGCATCGTCCACAGGGACCTCAAGGTGAGGCCATTGCTCAGCAACACCATCTAGCCCCTCTGCAACCCACAGTGCACCTGCTGGAAAAGATTGGCTGTGGTGAAGGGCCACGGCTTTGTGAAGAGAGAGGTGTAATAGTCAGTTGTGTAGTTTTAGGGGTGTCAGTTCGTTGAGGCCCAGAACGGATGCAGCTGGCCACTGTTTGCAAGATTCTGTAACCATTAAGCAGCCCCCAGGCCACAGAGAGGTGGGTGTGTATTAATTCAAGACCTTCCGAAAGACCATTCTGTATAGCAGAAAAAAAATCATAGAGACCCTTCACCCCTGAGCTGGTTAGGTTTTTTTTTTAATTTTTTGTTTTGTTTTTGTCAATTTGATACAAAATAAAGTCATCAGGAAAGATGAAACCTCAACTGAGGGAATGCCTCTGTATGATTGGCCTGAAGGCAAGACTATGAGGGCCTTTGTGATCAATGCTGGTGTGTGAGGGCCCAATCCACAGTGAGCAGTGCCACCATGGGGCAGGTAGTGCTGGTTGTATGAGAAAAGCAAGCTGAGTGAGCGTTGGGGAGCAAGCCAGTAAGCAGCATTCCTCTGGTTTCTGAATCAATTCCTGCCTCCAGGTTCCTGCTTTGAGTTCCTTGCCTGACTGATTGTGACCTGGAAATTGTAAGATGAAATAACCCCTTTTCTATCTTGGACACTGCCAGTGGAGTTCTTCAGCATCATGCTCTGCCTCCGGCCCCTTTTAAACACAACAGCCATGTGAAAGACAGGGGGCAGCAGGAATGGCACGGAGCAGAGAAAGTAGGCTAACAGTGCAGCAGGCTAATGAGCTTACAGGTACAGCTGTCTCCTGGCGAAGGTTCTTTTCTCCTTTTCTTCCCTCCTTTCCCCACCTCTCTCCCCTTTTTTCTCCCCTCCTCTTGTCTTCCTTGCTCTCCTCCTCTCTTCCCCTTTACCGACTGTCTCTCTATTTTCTTCCCTTCCTTCCTATTGGTTTTTGTCCTGATGGTTTGCTTTTTTAGGTAGAATTTCCCTCTATAGCCTAAAGAGACTTCAAAACAAACTTCAGATTCCCTGGCTTCAGCATCCTGGGTGATGAGAAATAACTGACTTTTCTTTATGAGATGTGGGCATAGTGATCCTGCATCTATTAGCACTGGAGAATTAGACCTTATAGTGGCCACCTTAGTGGCCTGTTTCCTTCCTCTAAACCAGGTCTCAGTAGCTATCACATACAAGGACTGGAAATAAAGTAAGAACAAGACCCAGGCTGTGGTGTGACTTCATGCTATGTTACAGATCCAGCTCCATAGCCTACTACATGAATGAGGTAGGCACTCACCCACTAGCATAAATGCACCATCAAAACGACTGCCTGGTGACCAAGCCATCCTCAGCACCAGGAAGTCAGCCAAAGGGTCAATTATGAGTGTTTGTCAGATTTTAAACATCTGCCAATCATCTGCTCGTGGCTATTAAGGAGTATGCTGGTGTAGATTTCCCTTCATGAAGACTCCCCTTTGGGCTGGGGTGTGGCTCAGTGGCTGAGCACTTGCCTAGCATGTGTAAATCCTAGGCTCCATGCCTGGCACCACATGTTTTTATAAAAAAAAATTAATTTAAAAAGAAAATATATACTCTGGAGTTTTCTCTTTTCCTTTCTGTCTTATTTAGGGGTTTATTGCTGTGAAGAAACCATGACCATTCCAACCATTATAAAGGAAAACATTTACTTGCAACTGGCTTGCAGTTTCAGAGGTTCAGTCCATTGTCATCACGGGGGAAGCATGACAGTGTGCAGTCAGGTGTAGGTCTGAAGAGGGAGCGGAGAGTTCTACATCCTGATCAGCAGGCAACAGGAAGAGACACTGTGCGCCACTAGGCTTGTTGAACTTCTGAGACCCCAAATCCCACCTCCTAATGGCATACTTCCTCTAACAGAGCCACACCTACTCCAACAAGGCCACTCCTCCTAATAGTGCCACTCTTTATGGACCAATCGGGGCCATTTTTATTAAAACCACCACTCTCCATGTATCATTTGCTCTTATATTTTTGGTTGTAAGCCTAGTCTTTAATGGCTGAGCTATCTCTCTAGCCCCCATGTATCATTTTCTCGTTCCATTTTTCCTCCTTTCCATAGTCTATCTTAGGACTGTCTAGAGATCTCCTTCCATAGATGCAAAACTTAATCAACCTCAATCAGTGCTGGGGAGATATGGGGAGGTCAGTAAAGTCTCTAAGTTCTGGCTCTGCCAATCTGACCAATCAGGGGCTCTGATCAATCAGGTCTATAACAGACCCATGAATTTACCTTTCTAGTGAACCCCAGGTATTAGTGATGCCAGTCTGGGGACCCCTCTTGAAGAACTATTGGAAAGAGGAGACTTAGAAATGCCAATAAACCCTTCTAGCCTTTGTTGTCTTCTTGCTAGCAAATGGCTGTGAATGTGATGAGCTAATCTTTGGGCTTCTGAGGCTCTATAGAGTTAGAGATGCTCTAGCTCAAGACAGCCAAGTACCTCCATGCCAGGCAGCACCCCCTCCCTGCTCCCATGCCAAGTCTGTGCTTTGAACCCATAGTGGCTGCTATATAGTGGTTGCTAAGCAAGTTAGTGTCACAACTTCAGAGATGTGGTGTGCAAGACAGTACTTCTTTTAAAAAAAAATAAGTTACAATCAATTAAAACCTATTCAGGAAGAGCAGTGTTCATGTTTCCCTTAAAAAGTGGGTCAGCAAGACAGGAGACCATTTTCCATTTCTACGCAAAGCTTTTGACAAGTTCTTACAGCTCTCAGCCTAGGGAGTCTCAAGAACATGAGGCCTTCTGGTAGCAGTCAAAGGAAGGGGGAAGATGGTTTTGATAACTGGGTTTATCCCTGTGGCAGAAAACAGTGGCTGTGTTAGGATTTTCGTATGATCCCTTTTCAGAGGCTCTAAGGAGTTTCATCCATGCGGTATTAAATTTTCATCAACTCCTAAGAGTATGGAAGCCACCCAGTCTAAGCTACAGCAGCAGACAGCCTGAGAGTGTCAATGAAAGACAGGCGCAGGGTCTGCACTGCTACCCCAACCCATGAGCAAACATGCCTGCTCTTCCTTCCGATAGGTGTTCCTATGTCCAGTGGGCCCTGGGAAACTGCTGGAGATGAGTGAGTGTTCTGTTTTGTTAACATGCAGGAAGTGAGAAAGGAAGTGTCTCCCACGCCTGCCTCGGACTTGAGTGGGTTCCTTAGCTCTGCCCTGTAGACTCTGCGTGGGCAACAGTCCTGGGCTCTGCAGGATGTTTAGCCGAATCCCTGACTTCTACCCTCTAGATTTCCAGTATCCTTCCTGGAGTCATGACAACCAAAAATGTCTTTAGGTTTTGCTGAATTTCGTTCACTGAGGTGCAAAACTGCCCCCTGTTGAGAAAACAGAATTCTGTGTTGCTACATGGCAGTAGTAACGTTCCCAAGAATGTGTTGATGATATCTTTTTAGAACAATTACTGTATAAATTATCATCAAGGAGGGAGCTTGACAGTCTACCCTGGGTGTGCCTGTCCTACAGAAATGCCATAATATGCAGCAAAAGAGTTTCTTAGGTGAGACCAGGCCGTTCCCAGGGCTCCCTCCTGACAGGAGGGACAGTGATGCAGTGTGGGAGATGCTCTTTGTGGCTTTCACTCCACCAGCCTTCATACAGCTCCTGAGGCCTCCCTTAGGTGACCCCCTGCCGCCCCAGCTCTGCCTCTCCACTCCCACCTGCCAGGAAAAGCCTTGCTGCCATTACCAAATCTTGAATCAACTCAGAGTATTGATAGATGCGGGTGAATGTTTAGTTGCTTTAACCCTCTCCTGAGATAACTGTTCAGAAAAGTATGGAGGAAGGTGTGTGTGTGTGTGTGTGTGTGTATGTGTGTATGTACTACCCATGGAGGAAAGTGTGTGTGTGTGTGTGTGTGTGTGTGTGTGTGTGTGTGTGTGTGTGTTGGGGATGGTGCTTGGCAATCCTTTGCCTGAGCTAAGCTTCAGTTAGTGAGATGAGTCACGTACTCATTTCTCTAGCTGCAGAGGAGTAAGAGCCAGTGGTGATGAACTAGAGCCATCTCTACACCTGTGAATGCATCTCACTGTTCATCAATGAATAAATCCTAAACCCCATGATTTTACAATAAGAGGAACCCCCTCACCCATTTTCCAAGCATTATTCCTGTTTCAGTGACAGACTGGCCCATTTCATTTTCATTTCAAAACACCCTTCAGCATCACCCTTGATTTTCTTCAAATCTCATTCTTCATCCACAAAACTGTCATGATGACTACTGACAACAGCTACTCTTTGTATAACTATTTCAAGTGATTGAAAATATTTTTCCCTTTGGGTTCTGTGAAAGGAAAAAAAAATGTTTTGACATTTGTTACAGCAAGAGAGAAGCCTTTGTTTCAGACCGCTGCATAGAGGAGAGAGACTGGGCCTAGCTCTCGCTCTGAACACAGGAACAAGTGGGCTGTTAGAGGAACAGGGGTGGGATGTGGAGAGCACAGCGCCTGCTGGGTTACTGAGGACTTGGTAGATGACTCAGCCCACAAATGCCTGCTGTGTGAGTGAAGAGCTGAGGTGCTTGCCAGCACTCACAGGAAAAGTCCAGGCGTGACAGTCTACACCTGCAGTCCCAGCACCGGGGAGGCAGACATAAGAGGGTCTGTGGACTCCCAAGCCCAACAGGCAGCCCCTATATTCAGTGGAAAGACCCTGCCTCAAACGGAAAACAAAAACAAACAACAATAACAACAACAAAAAAAAGGTGGAAAGCATTTGAGGAAGATACTCAGTGTTGACCTCTGGCCTCCACGTTTCAACACCCCAACACACACACACACACACACGCATGCACAAAACAAAATGATTTTTTTTTTAGAAGAAAATCATTAAGAGCTATCAGGAGTTTGGCTAAAGCAGCCAAAGAGTGGCTGAGGATTAGGGCAGTACTGGGTGTAGCTTAGCAATGGAGTCCTTACTTAGCACATACAAGACCCTGGGTTTGAGCCACACTGCCACAAAACACACAAAGAAACAAAAACAAATGCAAAATAATATTTTTTAAATAAATAAAATGACCTAACAAATCTCTCCCTAAAGGCAGGCCAGAAACTCTCACATGGACAAAGATCCACTTCGACCCAAATAGATTAATTGCAACTTTTCTTTTCTTTCTTCTTTCTTTCTTTCCTTCCTTCCTTCCTTCCTAAGATTTATTATGTATAGTGTTCTGCCTGCATATGTGCCTACACACCAGAAGAGGGCACCAGATCTCATTACAGATGGTTATGAGCCATCATGTGGTTGCTGGGAATCGAACTCAGGACCTTTGGAAGAGCAGCCAGTGCTCTTAACCTCTGAGCCATCTCTTCAGCCCTGCTTGCAACTTTTCTGAGTCCTCTTTTTTTCTGACCAGGCGTGGACCTTTGAGTCTGTCCTGTCTATAGACTGTACTTATTTAGTCTAGTTTTAGCAAGAAACATTCTGAATTCAGATGTCTTTTAATATCTGACCCAATTTCTTCTCTTGGTTTTGTTTGTTTTGTTTTGTTTGATACAGGGTTTGTCTGTGTATGTAGCCTTGGCTGTTCTGGACTCGCTTTGTAGACCAGGCTGGCCTCAAACTCACAGAGATCCACCTGCCTCTGTCTCTGCCTCCCCAAGTTGCTGGGATTACAGACATGCACCAACGCTCCTGGCCTGACCAAACATCTTATCTCCCACCTCAATATCACATCGCCCTGTCTTGTGCCTTAAACGAATGTCCTGTCAAGTTGGCTTTGCCAGCTCCTTACTTACTACCTCACAGCAACATTTCAGCCACTCTCCTCCAGCCTGCCCTTTGCTGTAAATTTCCACTTAACCTTTGCAACATTGGAGTTGAAGCAGATCCCCCTTCCTGTAAAGCCCCATGGTGGTATGGTGGTAGTAAAGAGAGCTCACTGTCCCGTAAAAATATCTGAATAATTGTTTCTGTAATAGCGTCAGATGCACCAGGTGGGAATTCCTTTTAAAGCTGTGCTTCTCAGTCTTTCTAATCACTTGTGTGACCCCCAAAATTATTTTTGTTGCTATTTCATAACTGTAATTCTGCTACTGTTATGAATTATTATATAAATATCTGATATGAAGAATAACTAATATGCAACTTCTGTAAAAGGGGCATTGACCCCCAAAGAGGTTGAGACCCACAGCCTGAGAACTGCTGCCCTAAAGAGAGTTCTCTTGATCCATGCTAAGACTGTGCTTGGCTGGCCTGGCTAGAGCAAGAGGGACTTGAGAGGCCAAGGTCACGGCTTTGTTCTCAAGAGGGCTCAAAGGAGCCTGGCCAAGTTTTGGTTGAGGACAGAGTCTTGGCCTGTTCTTACAATTTCTTCATAGCAGAGACTGCATGCCAGAATCTTACACACCACCACAACCACCACCACCCAGAGATCCAAGCCCACCCCATCTCAGATCTATCCAATGATGCATCTCCTCCATTTAATACCCTCACAGGTAAACAGGTAGCAGTGATATACAAGGCCAAGAGACACTTCCTAAACGTGTCCTATCACACTACCTATAATAATTTCCTAAACTGCATGCTTAGCAACCAAAGATTTGCCCCAGAAGCCTTTCAAGAGAGGATATGGCTTTCTCCTTGGGCTGGGAGGGTAACAATGAGCTTCCACTCCAGATCCTTCATTCTGCTCTCATTTCCTAAAGGTTTATTGTGGGCAAGAGCAGCAAGTACTTATTTACTCAGTAAATCTCCAGAACTGTCCTGGCAGTTGACTGTGACCAGACAGACCTGACACCATCACCCTGAGGGATAGCATCAACAGAAACCACACACAAAAAAAAGGATAACTAAAAAATGTGGGTTCCTCTTCCCTGTTGAGTTTCTTAGCCCTGCAGAACTAGCCTGAGACAGGTGAATCATGGTATCCACAAGCCCTATCCAGGACCTTGCCAGGACCAATGACAATCCCCAGTTTTGCCTAAAACTCTATGCAAAATAATGTCTTATTGTCTGCCCCAAGGAAGTCCCTCCCACCGACATCGCAAAACCACAGTGAAGACAAGCTGGACACAGAGGCATGCCCCTGTGATTCCAGGAGGCGGAGGCAGGAGGATCATGAGTTTGAAGCCATAAAAAGTTCCAGGCCAGCTTAGACTGGAAGATCCTGGATTAAAACAAAATGCCACAAGGAAGCAAACAAGTCAAGGACAGTCGGTCTGTCAGACAGTGTGGCACTACTGTCCAAGCTCTCCGCTGTCTGTTCAGAGGGGTAACCAGAAGACGCCAGAGTCTCTGCTTGGCGCGAAGGCAGCCTAAGACAGGAGCCTTTCAGGGCACATGACTAGAAAGTGCTACTTCTTTCATTCCCAGAGCTCTCCTTTCTTCCCTGGAAGGGGTGTGAGCAGGTGGCCGATGATCTCAGCAATGTGCAATGTGCAGCCCATCTGCCAGGGCTGCAGGGCATGGGAGGATGTTGCCGAGAGCCAGGACAGAGCCTCGCACCACAGCAAAGTAACCCGCAAGGGTCTCTGATTTATTTTTAAAAGAAGAAAAAAGAAAAAAGAACTTGTGAGAACCTGCAGATGTGCTTTCATCTCCTGGGAATCCTGTTCCCCTAGCCAAGAACTAAGGACAGTGTGAGAGCTATCGGCCTCTTAGGTTCCCTCAAAACATGGTTGTTCTTTTAAAGGAGACGAAATAGTAGTAATGGGAAGGAATAGCGTTGAAGACTTGCTTGCGCCAAGTGCTCTCGTGGCCCTCCGCAACCTCTTCAGAAAGCACTGCTATTTTAATTGACATCTATTTGTACAGACACTTTCTATGTCTGAAAGCCAAGGTTGTTCTTAATTGTGATGTTGTTGACTCTCCCATAAGTAAGGCAGCTTTAAGTATACCTGCTATTCAATTGTTGGGTTGTTTGCTTGCTTTCAGTCTTGGGGGTTGAGTCCAGGACTTCTTGCATGTTAAATAAGCCCTCTACCACTGGGCTACATGCCCAGGCCCTCATTTTATATTTTATTTGGAGAGACATGTTCTCCTGAGTAGCAGGGTGATAGGCCTATACCCAGGCTTGATTTACAACCTATAAGTTGTTTTCATTTTGTTTTGTTTTTTTCTAGCCTGAAAATCTCTTGTACTACAGTCAAGACGAGGAGTCCAAGATAATGATCAGTGACTTTGGTTTGTCAAAAATGGAGGGCAAAGGAGATGTGATGTCCACGGCCTGCGGGACCCCAGGCTATGTTGGTAAGGACAGTGAATGTGCCTGTGGATGCTTGTTTGTGCCCGTGAAGCTGGAATGTCTTCATGTCAACCTCATCTTCCTTCTGAAGCTTTGGAGCCCAGAACATACCACAACTGTCTGCCTTTCTCTTGAAGGAGGGATAGATATCTTGAGAGACAGCCCAGCAAATTAGTAGTGAAGTGATTTTCCCGAAACCTTTTAGCAGTTGGGTGGAAATCCTGTTTGATTTGGTTGTGGGCCCGACTGGAGTCTAAGAGCAAAATGGGATGGATTCCCAGGTTCTAATACCAGAATTAGCGTGTGTTTCTATTTTTGGATGATTTACAGTTGAAGCACCAAGCTTATGATAAGGTATGGGTAGGCTCAATAAAGCATGCAAAGTGTTGAGATCAATGTAGCCAGAGAGGAAATGCTGATATGAGGAATATGGAAGAAGCCATGAATTAGTCATTCTCTCAAGTCAGCTCACCCTGACCTATGCAGCAAGGCCAGGTGTCATGACAGTTTTTCCTAAAATCATAAATGCATCATTCTTTCTGTTACTCATAAAATGCAGAGAAGGCTGCTGACAGCTTTGAACAGTTGGTCTCCAGATTCATCTTTTTGTTTTGGAGAAAGCCCATGGGAACTGTGATAGCGTTCTATTACTATAACAAACACCAGAGATATATCAGCTTATAAAGAGAAAAGGTTAATTTTGCCTTGTGGTTTTAGAGATTTCAGACTGTGACTGATGGGCCCTGTAGCTTTTGGGCTTGCAGCAAAGCAGCACATTATGACAACAGCACTTGGGAAAACCATTCACCTTGTGGCTGGGATGTGAAGGACAAAGGCGAGGAAAGAGTGGAATAATAACCCTTTCAAAGGTGTAGCCCTGGTGACCAGGAAACCTTATAATAGGCCCTACTTCAGTGTTCTGCCAACTCCCAAAAGTATCACTTGCTGAGAACCAAGGCTCTATCACACGGGCCTTTAGGGAACACTTAAAGACAACTGTTCCCATCAGTGTAATTCAATCACTTATCCCATGTGTGTCCGGTGCCTACTGTGTCACTAGCACTTCACGGAGCTTGCCTGGTCACTGGAACAAGGGACCACAAAGAAGAAACAAATGGACACGTCCATTTCAGATTGTGCTTGCTGAGGGAAATAGAGCCAGCAGCATGCAGCAAATACTAACACGGATTAAGGAGGGCCCCGAACTATGTTGAGAGGGCTTGGGGTGGGGGTGTTGTTTGAGCATTCAAGGAGCCGGTCACTGGAAGGACGAGAAGAGGCTCATTCTAAGCAGAGAAACAAGCTTGGTAAAAAGCCAAAGGCAGAGAGAGGGCAAACCGGTGGGTCTGAAGGTGGTGGAGGATTGAAAACTGGAGAACAAGGCTGAATCCTCGTGCAAACTTTGAAGGTCTTTCTTCGTGAAGGCAGTGTGTGCACTGGGCATGGCGGGACATTCCTGGGTTCCCAGCACTGGCAGGTCAGGGAAGAGGCAGGAAGAAAGCAAGTTTGAGGCCAGCCTGGGCTGTATAGTAAAATGTTGTCCAAAAAAAGGTGGGGGTGGGGGAGAGGTAATAGAGGAAAAGGGAGAGAACGAGGAGGGAGAGAAGAAGAAAGGGAATGAAAGAGGGGAAAGGGCAAACATGGCGTAAGCTCCCCTAAAGAAGGGAGAATCAATATTACACAGCTTATATTATTTCCGTGAGTCCTCAGGTTCAACTAGGCAACCTTCTCAACAGGCTGAGGAGATCCAATCTGAAACCAAATGGGTCTGGAGACGGCAGAGCACTGTGGGGAGTTCCCTGTGACTTTGGAGACACCCCGTTGTGTTTCAAGTCCTTGCATAATTACATTGTCATATCAAAATTGATATGTCACTGCTGTTTCATTTTCCAAGTTAATCAGAGGAGGGAAGCAGAGGGGAATGATGAGTAAAATGAAGGAAGGGAAAGGAGTAAGAGATACAGGATTGGATCCAAGGGGATGTGGCAGGCAGAAGCTGTGGGGGCTGTCACGGGTGGGACTCATGGTCCTGGATTGTGGATGTGCACTGAGTGATCCTAAGGCCATAGAGATGCCAGAGAGGGACAGATGGGCCTGCCAGCCATCACTGGATTTATTATAATACAGTGAGGGATAGGTAGGCAGGACTGAAGTATGGAGATTGTGGAAAGTGAGTTCTGTGAGATACCAGCACATACGCAGCTGGAGCAAAGATGCGAGGGCGTGTGGAAAGTGGATGTGGTCTCTCCCTCGTGCTTGCTGTCTACACCTTCGGGCACACAGCAGGGGAATGAATGAAAAAGTGAACCCTTGGCATCTTTGAGAGATGAGGGACTCTGCAGAGAAGGATTTTCTCCGACCCATCATCTGTAAATCATGGCTATCAGAACGGAGAAGGCTTGTGTTGTGAGATTCAGTCTCATGGTCAAGAAGGCTCTAAGCCCCCAGGCCTCAAGCCATCTTCTCCAGGATGCTTGGGTGCTGTGGTTCTCGCCCTGTTTTTGCCTTCTGGCTTTTGAGCTGAGGCCTAACTGCTCCGACAATCATATTCTTACCTATGCACCTTGCTGATCTCACTTTAATTCTGCTACCTGAAAGCTCTAACACTTTCTAGATCGATTCTTGGCTCCCCTGTGTGGATGGCAGTTTCTCTGTTTCTAGGTGGCCACTACCTGCAGCTTTTGTTTTGGTTTGTCGCTGTGACCAGAGATGATGGATGGTTTCAGGGACAGTGGCTCCTGCTTAAAGGGCAGGTAAGCAAGTATTTTCGTGATTTTGCTGTCAAATATCAAGTTCTTTTAGAGCAATAGCAATAGAGCTACCGGATCTGTTTATATTTACTGAGCACCCCAAGTGAAAAGGGTCTTTGGTCTTTGGGTGTCGTTAGCCAAAGTAGGTTTTTTTTCACCCCCAAGTCTCCATGCCAGTCTTCTATGCACCCCTCAAAACCCAGTTGAAATGCTACCCTCTTCTGGTTGCCATCCTGCCTCAACCTCTCCTTCAACATTCCCTTTCTCTCCCTCTTCCAGTGCATCGCTTCTGATCATATTGAGTCCATGTCTACTTTGTCTCTTTGCTGCCCTGTGGTTTGGGCTCCAGCAAGGTCTCTGTCTTACTATCTTACATATACATATCTTACATATATATGTGTGTGTGTGTGTGTGTGTGTGTGTGTGTGTGTGTGTGTGTGTGAATATAGGGGGGGTGGACAGGCAGAAATTCTTACCCTATTGTCTTTACATTTTAGTGGGACGGAGACAGGTCATAGGAAACTTCTTCCGTGTGTTGTCTCGGTAATGCACATGAGGATGTGTAATGGAGGAGTGTGCATACAGGTGGACACTCAGAGGCAATCTTGGGTGTGGTTCCTCAGGCACCATCCACCTTGGTTTTTTGAGACAGCATCTGTCACTGGGACATACAGCATGCTGACTAGGCTGGCTTGAGCGGGCAGTGAGCACCAGGATCTCCCTACTGCCTACCCAATGTTAGGATCACAAGCTTTTCCTCATCCCCGCAGCATTCTGTGAACACTCTAGGGGCAGGGTTCTGAGCCTCAGGCTCGCACAGCGAGCATTTTATCAAATGAGCTGTTTTCCCTGTGCCTACATATACTTTTATAAAAGGCAACTGTGGCCCATGGAAATGGTCACTTACTGAGTGTGTCTCCATCTCTGGCATTGAGTTCCTGCTGCATGTAGCCTCAATGGCTTGTTCCATCCAGCTCCAGTGTAGTGTGGCAAGGTATACAATGCAAGGCATACATATGGTTATGTATTCCAAATATAGCATAACAAGTGTATTTCACAAGCAAACTGTAAAGTTCTGGAAGGGGGGGATCGTCAGTAGCTAGAACAACCAAGAGAAAACTTCTGGAAACACCAAAGAAAGGCGGAGCTCAGGCAAAGGCAAGAAGAGTTACCGGTGACACACAAGTCCTGGACTCCTCTCTGCTGCTAACTGTAGGATGTATGAGGAAGGACCAAGCTCCTTTAGCTTGGAGAACAGTCTGCTGCAAGTGAGTGCTTTCTGGCAGTGATACTGGGGAGAAATGATTGGCCCATCTGGTGGCAGCGGGCTGCTCAGGGAAACGTGTTGTCTGTCAGTGTGGTATAGACCTGGATGTGGAATCCATTTAATTAAGTCAAGTGTTCCATTCTCCCTGATGCCACCATCAAGAGGCAAAGTCGCAACTAAGAAACTTAGTCAGTCAGAGTGTCTGATGTGTGGAATTAATTAAAATGCCCAAATGGGTCCCCTGAGGTCACTGAGTAGGTGACAGAAGGCGTTTGTCTCAGTCAGGTAATTGATAAGGAGCAGAAGTGACAACTATACTTTTATTTAGTACAGCAGAGCCTGGGGTTTGTGTGTGTGTGTGTGTGTGTGTGTGTGTACACTAACTTGGTTGTTGAGATTCAAGGACCACAATCAGGTCTTCTGGTTTCAGAAACAAAATTAAAACTTAAGAGAACCTCAGATATACAGATCAAGTGGCTATGTGTCACTCAAGAATAGGCCACCCTGTTGCTCTCCTGCCAGGGTGCCGCTGTAGAGACAGGAAGGCAGCTGCTGGCAGGGACGCTGCCTGAGCCGCCATGGTGCCGAAGTGAGAGTTCATTGTTGGCTCACACTCAGCAGTGAGTTATCACTCTGCAAATTTTTGCTCCCAGAGCATTACTACTATTTCCTGGTTGCTCTTGACTAGGAACTGGGGGAGATCATTGACACTTGGGAGCATTACTTTATAATCAAAACCACATGAGCAAAATCTTAATTCATGGATGATTGGTGAGTCTCTAGACCATCCCAGTATCCTTCCAGAACTTAGCTTCAACATTGCTAGCCCAGCAATGGCAGGCATCGTTACACTAGTTCTGCCTTAACTTGCCTAAAGTAGTTTAAACCATTTGTTCTTGCTCTTCCTTAAATGAAGCTAGTGAACAGTTGGTCAGCATTCTTAGAAAGCTTCTTTTTTTTCCGTCTAGTTAGAGGAATGCTCTTAATT